ACACTCCTCTCAAACAAGTGGAAAGGAAGGTCACTCATATTTCCCTCGCAGAAGGCTGGCACACTTGTGTTTACATTTCAGTCCCTACACCCCCATCACTATAGCAACTCATTTTCTTATTTTGTCCTCCTCTGTGGGTGTTTTTTTTTTTTTTTCATTTCTGTTGTTTGCAATGTGCAGAAGTAAAAAAAAAAAAAAAACCCACTTGGCTAGATGTAAATGATTGAAGGAACCTAAGGAAGCCATGAATATTCCGAGTTTCTCTCGGGTTGGTCATGCCGAAGTACAGCTGCGTGTTGTGCAATTTTGGTTCTGTAACAGCACCAAATGGCAGCAAGTTGCAACAGTTTGGGATCAGATGAGCTGGCAGCAGTGATTTGCATTTCTTGGCGGTACTGGGTCAGTTTGGTTTGGATGTGTCAGTTCCTGTGCTCTGAAGATGTCTGGGCAGTTTGCATACCAAACACCAGACTGTAGGCGGGCTGCAATTCTGTCATCAAAACCTCAAATGTGCTTTATTAATCAAGAACTCGATCATTACATGTACACTAAAACGATATAATGGAATATATGAATGCACGTACCGCCCACACACCCTTTTATTTACATTTTATCCAGCTCAAATACAACACTGCGATTAAGGGTTTTTGTAGATACGGTTGGCACGCAGGACCTCAGTGTGGGAATTTAAAATATTTCAGGCCGAGTGAGCCGGAATACAGTGAAACAGCCAATAAAGGAGTGGAGAGAGATGGAAATTCAGCAGTGGACATGTCTGTACCTGGGATAGTGTGGAGGAGGCGTCTCATCATAAGCTGGGCCAAGATTTTAGAGTGGAATCGAACAATTAGTCTGTTGTGTGTAGGCACAGTCGGACAATCAGGCACTTCCGCTCAGGCACTCCTTGTTCTTTTATTGGCTCTCGCAGTGGTGCAGTGGTCAGCCATGTTGCTTCTCAGCAACAAGGTTATGGGTTTACATCTGAAGTTTGCATCTCCTCCCTGCACCTATGTGGGTTTTTCATGCTGCTCTGGAGTCCAAAGACAGACATGGCAGATGTATTGTTGTTTAGAAATTAGGTGTAGATGTGAGAGGTTGTTCGTTTCTTCATGCTAACCCTGCGATGAACTGGCGATGTGTCCAGGGTGAACCCACGTCTCATCCAATGTCACCCTCAGACGACCTTCTGTAGCATAAATCAGGTATATGATGGATAGATGGTTGGATTTTCTATTAAAAACAGCTCGACTGAAAGTGTCCAACATTCAAAACACACACCTGATCCCGCTTAAAAAAACATGCTGTTTCTGCACAGTTACACAACAGAAACCAATTAAAAGCATGCAAAGTAGGCAAAAATTCAACGTTCTCCAAGGATAGCTGGGCTCCGTGAGCATGTTATTACTTGTTGGTACAAATTAGTAAATGGTTGCTGGAAGAAAGAAAAGCTGCGGGCGAAAATGCTGATTGGTGCTGCACATGTCTTTGTCTTCTTGTACGCCCAAGGTCATGGTGGTGCTTTTTTTCTTTTTACATCGTGTGTGTTCAAGTACTACTTCAGGTGCTTATCACATGGTCAGAGGTTCAATCCCCAGTTGGACTCTTGAGCAAGGGGCCATTAGTGACCCTGCACTCAGACCGTAGCGTCCCAAGCAGCTGGAATATGTGAAAACTTCACCATGCTGTCATGTTGGCCCATAAAACCGTAGTGATGTGTACCAGCATTAGACATTTCCTGGGTTGTCAAAACGAAACTACGTGGAATGTTTTATAGTTTCACTTGAATGCGTCAGATGCAAACCACCAGGAAGGTACATAATAGAAACACAAAGCGCATGTGAATGAACAAACTGCCTCCTACTAATCCCTATTTATTTTTGTTAAGGTGTAAATGTATTTTTGTCTGGGTGTGTTTCATTGTGTTGTGTTGCTATTATTAGCTGTGTACCATGATACATTCAAAATAAGGTGGTTAAATTCAAAATACACTTTATTTCTCTTGAGCTTTATATTTAAAAAAAAAAAAAAAAAAGGTAACTAAAAAGCATGATCTACTGCTCTCTTAGCAGTTTATTATGTGAACATGTACAAGAAATTTGACTCCTGTTTTATTTGCTCTCAAGGTACTTACACGAAAGATAACATGTGTTAAAAAAACAAGAGCAACAGGTTACAGAACACGAGCGTTTCACTACAATGTGCAGCTACAGATAGGTGTAAAAAAAAAAAAAGTTTAAAGGGACGTTATCAAAAACGATCAATCTCTATAGTCTAGATAGTCTAAAATAAAAAGTTTCCTTGGTGTATACTATGCAGCAATATTGCCCAGGATTTAGCAATAATAATCAGTTCTATCGTCTAAAATAAAAAGTTTTTGCGTTATATGGTTATCAGCTGTATTACCCAACCTTACTGTAATGTACATGTGAGAGTTATAAGCTTTAATAAATCAAAAGAGTCATTATCTTGCTGTTTTTAGCTGAAGGCCAACATGAAAAGATTAATGAGCAACAACAGCAAATCTGCATTGTTCCAGTCTGATTATTGTTGATCATTGATCTACTTGTTCTTATTTTTATCAAGCATTTATTTGCATGTTAAGCAAACCTTTCCTTGAACTCTTTTGGCAGTGCATTTAGCTCCAATCTCAGTGGTGATAAATAAGGATTGGTCTCAGTTATAAAGAAAGTGTGGTGTGGAAAACACAAACCACCTAAACTCTGGTGTATGAACTTATTCTCAGCTTTTCTCTGGATCTACTAGAGCAGAGCATCCTCATGCATGCAAGTATCCTCTCTAATTTCCTGTATGCTCTGCTCTTCTTTATCTCAGGTGCCAATATTGCAAAGTGAAGCTGATCTGCCCGCTATCCCTGCTGCTCATTCTGTTATATAAATTAGGATATTGGTATTGTGGAAGTGGAAATATGTAAAGTAATTAAGATATGGTGTTGCATTTCACATCACAACATAATTGTTTTTGAAGCTGCTGGCTCAATGTGATCATTGAAATATTGGAATGTGACATTTTTTTGTAGCTAAAATGAAGAAATTTTATTCAAGATGATTAATTTCATGCCGGCCAATTTTACTACTTACATGAAAGTATTCAGTGTTTCCTTTACATTCATTTAGGAGTGGCGGGCCGCCCCTTCAAATTTCTTTCTCATTTTTAATTTTTTTTTTTTTTTTTAAGAATTGTCGCAAATACACCACCGCCACATGTCTCCACCTTCACATCAGAGTCCTGCACTGGGTCGGGTACTCGCAAGTACTACAGTAAACTACAGATAACTGTCTTGCTCAGTATCTACTTTATGGGGGGTTAATACGATGCTAATTACTTGCGAGAGCGCGGCCTTAAAAGTGACATCACGTCCAGATAGTCAGAGGAGGGTCGTCCTGGAGAATGGGGCAGCGACTTACCGGAGGAAAGGTGGACTTTTAGTATTGTGTACAAAAAGACATTTTCTTTGCAGTTTTCACCTTCTAAAAACACATCCATCAGGCATTCATTGACGCAAAGATTAAATATGGAGCACATTAAAATGTTCATACTGCAGCTGTTTTTGATGTGGATTCACTTTTGGCATCATGGTTGCGCAGTCATGAAACATGTGGGAAGCCTGCGTGAGGTAAACTTACCTTGATCGTGACGTGTGGCTTGTGTTGCTTGCGTGATCAAATGCTGTTTGGCCGCATTCTCTCAGCAGAGCATGACCGCGCTGACATGCAGTATTATGGACCTGTTTGTTTGCTGGACAAAGCAGAGACGGTCTCTGGACTGAATTTAACACATGTCAGTACTTAAGTAGCTCTTGTGCAAAGGGATATTTTTATACTAATAAATGCAGTCTGTTCAATAATTGAATTCACTGCGTTGAGATGCTGCAAATGCAAACCCAACATTTCCTGCCGTTACTACCTCACATTCAATGTGTTCCACTGGCAAACCACAGGAAGGAAGCGGCGTTTGTCACAGAGGTATTTGGCTGATTGTGAAAACTTTGTCTGCGCAGCAAGATATTATTTAATGTTCTAGACCCTTTATATTGGGGTCATTGTAAAGAAGCTGATGTGTTTTATTTTAGAAGCAGAGAGAACGTTCGGGCTCTGACGGGCTGGAGTGGGCATGACGCACAGGCTGCATTTGGCTACTAAGACCAGTTTATTCTCCATGAAACGTGCAGAATAGAGTGAAAATCTGATGATTATTTCAGTTTTTACATAAACACATAACTTCTGCTACGTTTGTACCGAGCGTTGACACTCTAGAACAGACTTTTGGAAACACCGCTAACTTGTTTTAGTTTCAAAGCTCTGACATTACATTTCAGAAACTGAGATTCGTGGAAATGATGATGTTCCCTTATTGGTTCGACCTCACTGTCACTGCGTGTCCTACCCTGATTCGTCACACTCCTCTTGCGTGACCTTTTCTGGAAAAAAAACAAAAACAAAGCCATGAGGTCTGCCTACCAGTGGATAATGCAACATGGATAATGAATTACAGGCGTTCCTCAACTTGTTGTCTCTGTTGGCAGCTGTTGTGCAAGAAAAGAAATCTCTGGTCTTATGCTGACATTGCTGTTGTTCCTGCGTAGATTTTATTTTTATTTATTTTACAGCTGAGCAACCAGCCACCTGCTAAAATGCTTGTTTTTCCTTTGCAGTGTCAGTGTAACATTTCTGTACCTTTTTGTTTCATGGACTTGTGACGTAGCTGCATGACGCAGCGTGGGGCGGTATTCTAATGTAAACATTGCATTATTGCCGACCTCCTGCAGATATGAGTGCTGTCCCATGCTTTTTTTTTTTTTAGCAGGGTAAAGATGAGGTTCCTTCAAAAGTCATGAGGGAACTTTAACAACCACTATTACTGGAAATGTGTTCTGGAAAAGCTGCGGGGTCTGATTGTGTAGTTTTAAACACCTCTTTTCTGTTTTTTTCAGTATGATGTCTTATTGTTGGCTCTTGTCTGTGTTTTGTTTCATTCTCCAGCTCTGCTTATGACCGGGACAACAAGATCCGCGTTGCCATTAAGAAGATCAGCCCCTTCGAGCACCAGACGTACTGCCAACGCACCCTGAGAGAGATCAAAATCCTTCTGCGCTTCAAGCACGAGAACATTATTGGAATCAACGACATCATTCGCACACCAACCATCGATCAGATGAAGGACGTGTATCCTGACTAAACAATGGTTTTCCTGCATTTGAAGTTGTTGATAATGTGTGAAGACATTTGCATTTGATGGTTTTGCTCAGCTGCCAGTGAGATTGGTCTCTAACATTTGTGACTGAGTAGGGGGCTTTCATTTGTGTTTTATTACATAATAGCCACCTGTCAGCGCACATTTGGCAGAGATGCTCTTCACTGTAGCCAGCAGTGGCAAACTGGTGCAGTCCACAGTCACTGTGTGTGTTTAGTGTAACCTAAAAAAAAATAAAACATTAAAAAATGGCTGAAGCCTGCAGCGGCTCGGCTCTCTGCTTCCCGCCTGCCAACACGAGCATTCACCCAAACAAAAATAATAAACGCTCCGAGATAAAGTGACTCTCCTGCACAGAATTGGCTTTCTTTCACCACCTGGCCCTGACATGTTTTCAGTTTGTTGTAGCTACACGAGCACCAGCTCATTACGCCGCCATGACACCTCTGGGACTTGGCTATATTGAGAAGCTGCCGAAAATAAGCAACAAGTCAGCAGTTTGGTGATTCGAGCTCATGGCTCTCTGGGTGTGATGCTAAAATCCACAATCCGACGTGAGTGTGCCAGGAAGCCCTAAATGTAGTTTGGATGTGTTTAGGGTTGGGAAATATCATGATTAATGACCAGATTTACCTCGAAGGAAAATGATACTGGAGCACTAAATCCCCCAACGTTGCAGCAGAGGTGTTATTAAGCCAAAGTAGAAAAAAATAAACAGTAAATCTTGACAGTTTTGCTTGACATTCTCATATTTGAGGCAAGACACTACTGGTGAGATTTGAGATTTCGAGATATCCAAAATCCCTGATGTAAAAACCTGTAACTCTTAACATGTCAAAGAAATGGAACAAAAACTTTAGAAACAGTTTTATCCAGCGTTAAGATATCTGTTCTGGCAAATAATGCAAATTAAAGCATTTTTAGATATATATGTATAATACATTATATGCATATTTAAACATAGTTTCTGATTGTGAGCGATTATTGGGGTAATTTCATGAAGGAATGAACTTACGGAATATCTTAATATGACTAAAATTACGCAGGTTAGTGAGTTAAAATATTGATTTTAGTTCATTTTCAACTACCTGCTCAGCCCTGTTGGATATCTGGAGATCTCAGTTTTGTAGGTGGCAATAAAAACTGCGACTCATACAGACTTTACATTGCTTTATATTGTCCGGAGTGTTGTTTCCATGATCTTAAAGAACGTCTTTAACTGAGACTGCGCAGATATATTGTCCAGGATCTCATGGAAACAGACCTGTACAAGCTCCTGAAGACCCAACACCTGAGCAACGACCACATCTGCTACTTCCTCTACCAGATCCTACGAGGGCTCAAGTACATCCACTCTGCCAACGTCCTGCACCGCGACCTGAAGCCCTCCAACCTTCTGCTCAACACCACCTGCGATCTTAAGGTAGCGTCTCGAATAGAAGTTCGGTCAAATGTTTTTAAAAATTATTTCAATACCTTCATCCTTAATTTAATTTATGGAGCACAAATCCTTCGTTTACGGCCGCTGTCTCACTGGTGTGAAGGTCCACAATTTGAAGCAGGACATAGCTAAAATGTTTGCATTGTGAAAATATTTTTAATTGAAAAACAAAAACAGTCAGTAATGTCAGTATTTAGCGAGACGGTAGGAACAGAGCTGCATTCAGTACCACTAGCTTAAACGGTAAAAGAACACGAGGAGTTCACACAGGTACTCGATTAAAGCTGCATTTAACAGGAGACAGAAATTTCAAGACAGCGATAAGGCCAAAAAGGATCACCGAAAGGGGAGCTGAATTTACCACAGCTGTGGTAGAAAATCCAGGTTTTCACCATCTTTTTGTGTAGAAAGCTGAAAGTGCCATCACTTCTTTTTGCATGCGATTCAAATCAGAACCTTTACAACAAGGTTCCTGACACGAAATTGAAATTTTTGTAGTTCTTTCTAGTTCTAGTTCTTTCTAGTTTTTTTACTAGCATTACTACAATGCTGCAATAGGCAAAAAAAAATAGTATTTTTATTTGCTGTCAGTGTGAATGTTGATCAATTGCACCACTTTGAAGTAAAGTTATGGTTGAATTACTCATTTTGAACGTTCTAATTCTGCTGCTGTAACGCTGCACTAAATGGAATCGTGATACAAACTGTTTATGAGGACATATTTTAGTTTGTTTGCTTGGTTATTTTGTTTATTTTATTTACTTTTGTGAAATTTTAGGTTTTTTTTCTTTATACCTTGCAGAGCTGTTCAGGTGTCAATCATATTAAGCATTAGATTTATTTTACTAACTTCAGTGTACTTAAAGGGCAAACTGTGCTGCTGCATTTTCAAGAAAACAATATTGGTTTGGGACTCTGTATCCGCAGACAAAAAAACTTGATCGGAACATCCCTGTTTTAGTGCCAAATGATGGTCTAACCCTGTCAAATTCTCATCACTGTGATCTATTTAATTACAAAAAGCATCAGATGACTTAATATTCTCATAAAGTTCCCACACAAATACAAATCCACTGTGCAAACCACCGGTTTCCTGCCGATTGTTTTATTTTCATCTCAGACCCTCTGATGTTGCAACACAATTTTTTTTTTTTGTCTGCGTCTCTTATCTCTCTGCAGATCTGTGATTTTGGTTTGGCACGTGTGGCTGATCCTGACCATGATCACACCGGTTTCCTCACAGAGTACGTCGCCACTCGTTGGTACCGAGCTCCGGAGATCATGCTCAACTCCAAGGTGAGTTGTTTGCTGCCATGTTAATGTTATAATTGTATTTTCTTCAGTTAAATATGCTGGAAAAACATCACGTAACATGTGCTTCAGATCTTAACGTTTGCTGTGTCTGGAATTTAATTTGATGGTACGTTGGAGTCCCCTTAAAGGATAATTCTAGTTTATTTCTACTTGCCATCTTTAACTTTGCACTCTTCACCTCTGTTGTAGAGATTTGAGAAATAAGGAGTCTAAACTAGTGCAAGATTTTTACATGAATCAGTTTAAATGTTTACTTTTCAGTCTCACTGCAGCTAAGCACTAAATTGATCAGCTTGAAACAGCCATTTTGTTCACGACATTCAATTCTAAATGAATTCTTGCTCCTTTTTTGTGAATCCTGCAGATAATTTGGTTAAGTTTTAAAAAAACAAGGCTGTAATACTGTCAGACTTCAGGCTTTTATGCTTACTGAGCCCAACCAGACTTTAAACTATGTTAATGTTACCACCAAGTACATTTATATTGACTTTAAAAAAACTGTAGTCATGACTGTGTCTGTGTGTCTCACGTTCAGGGCTATACCAAGTCCATAGACATCTGGTCAGTGGGTTGCATCCTGGCTGAGATGCTGTCCAACAGGCCAATCTTTCCTGGGAAGCACTACTTGGATCAGCTCAACCACATTTTGGGTAATAACTTTCTTTATACCCACAGTTCTTAATGATTGGTATAGCAGTATAGTATTGAAATACCCAGCAGAAGGCTTCAGTAATAATATGGAATCAGTTTGACGTTAAGATAGTTTAGTTTTTGCCACTTATCACACAAAATGAAAGATGTTTTGTTTTCTTTAATTGCAAGAAAATGCCAGTTTGACATCTTGCTTGTGTTTTTCTTGTAAACGTCATTCTCATATGTGATAATGTAAAAGTTAACAGACTTCTATGTAAAAGTGGAATTACTAACAATAGTAACGTGAACAGCTTGCACGGCGTGTTTGTTGTAGTACAAGCTGTTCAAATAATTACCTCCTGAAATAGTTTTATGCAGTTAATAGTGAAAAACCCAACAAAATGTGAATCTGTTGCATAATGCAATGTCACTTTTGTCTTTATTAAAGCTTTGACAACTTTAAACTTGAACCAGAATTTCACACTCTGCCAGTAGCAACAGCTTTCTGGTGCCAATCCATAGATACTGTAGCTGTTAATATGCACTTACCAAGTCTTACTTTGTGTGTCTTGGTGCTAGACCACATATTGCTTCTCCCATCTGTCGATTTTGTCGTGCATTCAGACTGTTTTTGTTGAGAGAACTTGGTTGTGTAACTGAAAACTTTAAGCAAGCCCTGTGCTAATTAGAACTTGTTTTATGGAGGAACAAAACCGGATTATCTAATGATCTTCTTCTAATCCTGTCTCCTCAGGGATCCTGGGTTCTCCTTCTCAGGAGGATCTCAACTGCATCATCAACATTAAGGCCAGGAACTATCTGCTGTCGCTGCCGTTGCGCTGCAAAGTGCCGTGGAACCGCCTCTTCCCCAACGCCGACCCAAAAGGTCAGAGCCAGGAGGACCTCTCATAACTCCCACAGAACATGGAATTTCTAGAATATTATAAATCTTTGAGGGTTTTTGCTGCAGACAAGGGAGATAAACAATTTCCTGAGAGAATTCCTGGACTTGAATATTATTTTATGGGGAGAGACGGTGAAAAACAAGCACAAATGCCAAAGCCGTCGAGTCAAACAATTGGCAGGTCAGGGGTTAGGAAGCTGATTAGGGGTGTTTCTAGTGGCAGGAAGAAATTAATTTCTGGAAATGCTGTGTGTGTTGGTGGCAATATGTTGGGGAATTTCCAAATAATGAACAAAATAGGTGCAAATACGTAAGAAATTATCCTTCAATTGTTTCTAAAAGGCTCTTTCAGGGGTGTAATAAGATAAGATTAGATAATATAGAAATGAATTAACCATGAAGAAAATTGTTATGCCAAATATTGCAAAAAAGAAAAATGACAGTGAAATGAGAACAGATGTAACAGATGTAATAGAAAACAACAAGTATGATACATTACTGAAGCTTAAAACAGAACCAAGGGCTGCAAGGTGGTGCAGTTGGTAGCACTGTTGCCTCGCAGCAAGAAGGTTGCCGGTTCGCGTCCCGGTGGGGCACCGGAATGTTTCTGCGTGGAGTTTGCATGTTCTCCCCGTGCAGCGTGGGTTCTCTCCGGGTTCTCCGGCTTTCTAAATTGTCCGTAGGTGTGAATGTGAGTGTGCTTGGTTGTCTGTCTCGAAGTGTATCCCTGTGATAGACTGGTGACCTGTCCAGGTGTCCCCTGCCTTCACCCTGAGTCAGCTGGGATAGACTCCAGCCCCCCATGACCCTAGTGAGGATTAAGCGGTGTATAGATAATGGATGGAAAATAGAACCAAGTAAGCTAAAATATGACGAGACTAAACAAATGACAAGTAATACTGGCAATGATAACTATAGCAGTAAAGTAATATTCCATGTGATAATAAAATGGTTCTCATGAAACTGAAATATTTACACAATACTGAAACTGATGTTGCACATACAACTGAGAAAGTAATTTGCTGATCATATTGTTTAGTGTCAGATGTTTCAGCTGTAGAAATGCTGCAAACAGTAAGAGTAATGATACGTGAATATGTAAATCCTGGACCATGTAACGTGGTCTAAATAATGACAGTCAAAAGTCTATTTATGTCGACACACTCTTCAAATGAAAACCATCATGGCAGGTCACAGGTTGATGTCTATCAGCAATAGCATGCTAGCAGGGTTAGCCTTAAAAGCTGCAGGCATCATGCTGATTCTAGTAAACATGCACAGTGTGTTTATTTTAAACCATCTTCCTACAACCAGAATCTGCAATTTCTCCGTTTAAACTGAGCAGTCGGCTCAGTTGACGCAGACACAAAGCCTCCGGTTGCTTTGTCCACTGAAAATTCCAATAAAGGTCATTCAAACAAGGTGGCAGTGTTCTCAGTGAAGACAAACAGAAAGAGAAGCCGAGTTACATGTGCAGTTCTGCAGCTGAAATGGCTCTTCTGGCTTTAATGGTTAATTTAATTATAAATATGCTGCACTTGTCCTAATGGACATGCTTTATTGACTTTATACTGGAGAGCAAACAACTCAGTCTTAATACCTGAGTTGTTACACTAAAATTTCAACAAATTACACACTAATGAATGTTCTCTCTTTTTGAAAATGATTGAATAAAAGAAATATTTATTCATTTCTCGTGTTAGCTCTGCTGTACAAGGATCAAAACCAGGCTTACTTTATTAGCCCCTGCTTTCTACGCAATTCAAATATAAAAGTTGTAAATATTTACAAGAATAAATGGAGTACAAGACTCAGGATGACGGTCGTGGGAGAAGTTCGGTAAAATCTTTGGTTGTCTGTTCAAAATATTAACACAAGTTCTTAATGCAGTCAAATTTTGAGATGATGCAGCTGCTGGTTGTGTCTGCAAACCAAACAATCAGAAAACACCACGAGTGTCTCCAGAAAATAAGCAGCTGGTGGAACCTCTCAAAAGCACAATTTTTGAATGAAGTTTAAGGAAAAATAAACACACTGAGGTGGAGGTTAATGGGAATCTTGCGTGACGCTGCTCTCATATATTCTTCTTTGTTTACATCACAGCTCTGAGTCACCGCACAATCTGACATGTCTCAATGTGACACAGCACAGACTGACACAGATTGTGACCGTATTATAAATGCATCCATCTTGGAAATGCAATAACTTTAGACTCCAGACTAAAAAGTAAATAGCATTAAAAGAAGAGAGAGCAGCTTGTAGGGGAAGGATATGGAACGAGTTGATCAGTTTCAACAAACTGAGTGATTGATCAGTTTTAATGTTTGCTGTATAGAAAAGATGTGAAAAACACAATGAGAGTGGATTATATGGGGTATTAAGGTAACAAATGACATTATATTTAGCTTTAAACATGCAGAAACTCAGCAGTACAGGACGTTATGGCGCCCTCTAGTGGGCAGGCAGGATCGTTGTCGTTTCAGAATCTCCTAACAGTTTCATATTCTCATCTTTGTGCTGCAGCTCTGGACCTGCTGGACAAGATGCTGACCTTTAACCCTCATAAGAGGATCGAGGTGGAGGAGGCCCTGGCTCACCCCTACCTGGAACAATACTACGACCCCACAGATGAGGTGAGACACTCGGCTGAGGCTGAAGAGCGGCGGCGTCACCTACACGGTTCCTGATCAAACCAACAGTCTCTTCACATTTAAACAGTTTGTGTAGCGGCGCCTTAGTCTTAGCTGCTCTGTTGTGAATCTCATTGTAGCCTGTTGCTGAGGCCCCGTTCAAATTCGACATGGAGCTGGATGACCTACCCAAAGAGACACTGAAGGAGCTCATCTTTGAAGAAACTGCACGTTTCCAGCCCGGCTTTAGGTCCTAACATCTTACACAGGTATGTCCACACTGCTGCAGTCCATTTATAACCCCAAAAACCACTGAGCCTGCAGAGGCGCAGAGTTTGAAAGAACAGTGTTGAGAAGTAGCAGCTTTTTCTGTCCTGAAACAACCGACTTCACAAGGTGAGGTGGTTCAGGGAGATCCTCAGGACAGTCCCGCCTCCGCTGCAGCACACTGAGTGGTGTTACAGCTCCGAGATCCACTCTGATTCATCCGTGTTAAATTTAACAACTCGTCTCTTCAGAGCTCACAGTTCTGCTTCTGTTGAGTTTGAAGCAGAGGTACTTCACGAGCATAAAACCACTTTAAACATCGTCCATCTGCAGTATCGGAGCAGAGCTGTGCTTCGTCGCTGTCAGTTTACATCCAAAGCAAAACACTTCTTCTGTATTGGTGTTTATACATTTTAGATGTTTTGTGAAGCTGTGGCTCAGCTTCTGGCAGCAGTGCTGACATCTACTGTTGAGACTCACACATTCAGACACGCAGACGTAAGCTTAAAACTGTATTCCTCTTAAAACAAAGACATTTTCAGGATGATTTCATAGAATTTGATGTGCAAACTCAGCAGTTTATTGGCGCTTCAATGTCAAACTACTAAACATCCTTTATATGGAGAATTCCCCAATACCTGCTATCCAGTGGTCTTATTGTAGTATTGTTTGATCAGACAGGCTTTTTATTTTTGGCAGCTTTAGACGAAAATTTATTCTAACAAAGATCGTTAATTACTTTCTTAAAACGACTTCATACTGCATAGAATAAGGGATCTAAAATAGATTTTTGTGAAAAAAAAAATCGAGAATTTATTTTTTGTTTTGCGTAATATTTCTTTCGATGCCCAGTTCTTGAAATGAAATGAAATGAAAAATACTTTATTTATCCCAGAAGGGAAATTCAATATTTCTTTTTTTTGTTTGTTTGTTTAGAAATTCTTACGAGAGTACAGAAGCAGACATTGCACCATTAGTAAAATATTTTACACACAAATCCAAAAAAAAAGAAAAAGTGGGGTCAGTTTGTGTCATTACAGATAATGGTGTTGCTGTTTTGTTCAGTTTTTTTAGTCATTTGGAGCCCAAAGCTAAGTTCTGTGAAATATTTGGGCTTAGGAATATCAAAAAGCATTGCTTTACTAACTTACTTAAGTTTCAATATCTCCAGAAATATAACTTCCACAGCCATGAGAGTGGGTGAAGACACAGACAGAATTGTTTTCAGCAGATTCAGATGATTCAGTGGCTCCAGCAGAGGCCACGTTTTTAATGACTGGCCCTTGAAAATGGTCAAACAAAGGTGGTACTGGACCAAGAAAGTTCCTGTAAGTTTATATATATTTGGATGTATCCTTGTTTCCTACTAAAAATACAATCTTTGGTCAACATTTTAACAACATTTGAGGCCTTTAACATCAGTAGAATTAGATTTGTGGCAAATATGGTGAAGCAGGATTTCAGTGTTGTGCTGTTTTGATGTGAATGGTGATGTGGAAAAGCTAGTGTGCATAGAGGTCTATATATTTATTATCTTCACTGCTCCAATTTAATTACGACACCCAAAAATTTATTTTAATAAAATACATTGTAGGTTTTAAACAATCAGCATGAGTCAAAGCTCTTATGAAGCAGAATATACGATTAAAAAAGGTCAAAATTTGAACAAGAACAGGGAGATATTTATACCGTTTCCGACCCTGATGACCCTCCTCAGAGGTTTCTTCTCCCCCCTGATCACCAGCTGCTCCCCAGCAGGCCTTTTGTTGTGATAATAGCAATCAGCTCCACATTTTATCGCCCATCATCCGCTTTGTGTACCATCGGCTGCATGTAATTACTGTTTCCTCTCTGCAGCGTTTCAAAGTGTAACACGAGCGCAGTGAGAAGGAACAGAGTGTGACGTCTACCACGAGAAAAGCACTTTAATGCAGCTTTAAAATCTGTTGTCACGTCTTAGTTTCTGATTTTAATATCTGACTTCTGTTCATGACCCTTTACATGTTTCTGCACTCTGGTGGTGGTCGCTGTCACAAATCTTCTCTCTGCTGAGCAAAACATTTTCTTTAAAATGACATTAGGCTCGTGTGAGATGAACTGTGTTTCACTGGACATGCAGATGCAGTTTCTGCTCAACCATCTCTGGTTTGTCTGACATTTTTATAGCATAAAATATGGATATAAAGCTGTTGTGAAGTTTGAACTTGCCTGTCGATCCATTTTTCGTACATTTTTTTTCAACAAATTTCATGCTGTGGTTAAACAACAATATCTCAGGAACTATTAAAGATCAAAACCTAAATTGTTTACTGTTATTTCTCATCGTGACATTAATTTAGAATCAGAAATACTAGACAAGTAGATCAAATGATTTCTGATTATGGGTGAGTGGAACTATGAAAAAAAAAAATCATGTAAAGTCCTGTCTTTGGGCTCACATTAACAAAAATACTGATAATGCAGACGTCAGCTCGCGATGTTTTTTGAACCTCGTGTAGCTACATGTCACAATAATACAAAACCAGACAATAAAATACTTTTTAATATGAAAAAAACGTTTAGAACTGATTGAGCAAGTGTGACAAGTTGTTCCACAAAAGCAAAAAATATTCTTGGATAATCTCATTATTCTCTTTAATTTGTGCTCAGATATTTTCTTTTTTCATATTTCAGCTCACCGATGATCAAACTATTTGATCTGCTTGTACAACAGTGCAGATTCTGAATCAATGACACGATGAGAAATAACAGGGAAACTTTCAGACTTTCATCTTGAACACTTCCCGAGTCATTGTCATTCAAACGCTTGCTGAAAGTGGGTCGACAGGCGATTTTTAAAGAAAATATCTAGGAAAGTATTTGCTAACATTTTGCAGAGAGCATTTTAAACATCCAGAGTTTATGATATTAAAATTTCAAGCAAATCGGAGCCGGTCGAGCAGAAGGACCCCTGATGATTTTGAGGTGAAATAACCCTTTAATGTCTGTGCTGTCAGTTAGATTTAACACAGCGTCACTGTTTTCTTTCCCCTCCAGATGAATCTGTGGACGGGCTTCTGCGTGGCCACTGCTCCTCCCCCGCCTCCACACTGTTGCTGTGATATTTCTTTTTTTTTTTGTTTTTTTTAATTATTATTATTTAGTTCCGTTTTTATTTTCTCTCTCTCTCTCCTGTTGTCCACATCACCTGGATTCCTTGGGTCTCACTCGTCAAGTCCACTTTGCTCAGGAATGGCGTCAGGAATCAATCAATCAGTCATCCTGTCTCCTTCTTTTTCTCTCTCTCTCTCTTGGAGGTGAGGAGGTGAGGAGGGGGAGGGCAGTCACATCACAGCTTACAGTTTTGGGGGGTGATTTTTTTGTGTTTTTAAGCCAAGATCAACTAATTTTGTGTGTGTGTGTGTCTCTCAAAGGCGTTTTGGCTCTGGCTATTACTTATTGAAGACCTTTAATGTCCAGTTGAATGATAGACTAGCTGTCGCGTTTCTTCGGTCGTGGTTCTAACTCTGCCTACATTGCACAAACCAACGGTTGATTACGTACGAGAATCATCCATCATTATTAGAAACAAAAAAGGTCTCTTGAATTTTCTAACCTTTTGCCGCACTGTTACAAGGGATGCAGTCTTTTTTTTTTTCTCTCTCTCTCTCTTCAGAAAACGAAAAAAAAATCCCAAATTAAATCACCTGATTTATGCAATGAAATCACAGAATCAGCCGGAGACTTTGCGGGGCCACACAAGCCATCTCTAGGTGTCGATGAGGATCTATATTTTATCAAAAACCTCGTATTTTAATCCTTAATGCGCTCACACAGAAAGGCCCGAATGCAAGTATATACATATAAATATAAATATATATATATAGCCTGAAGAGTCTTAAGATATTTTAATGGTAAGAGTGACGATGGAACCTTTTTGTTTTTTTTTTAAGAAAAGAAAAATCCCTTTTTTTTTTCCCCTCTCTTCATTTCTCATCGGCTTCAGTGAGATAGAGACGCACCAGGTTTCACCATCGATTTCTGCCTTAGCCGTGAGAAAACCGAGGAAGAAGTTTATGTCACACAAGTCTGTATGTACAGTTCGATATTTTTCATATTTCGGGGGGGAAACTTTACTGCGTCAGGACAAGAATTCACACACAGGACTCGTTTCGTCCGGAGGAAAATGTCGTTGTGCCTCCCGTTTTTCTTCCTGTTCTTGTGTTTTCTTTTCGTCTTCGGTCTCTGTTGATCTCTCTCTCTCTCTCTCTTTCTCTTTCTCTTTCTCTTTCTCTCTCTCTCTCTCGCCTTGTTAGAATAATACTGTGCCCTTTGCATGACTGTTATAAGCTCTGTATACAAAGACGACGATGTTAAGTGCCACACAAGCCGGGCAGATCCGCCGGGAGAGCGCCCAGGCTCTTTCCGTTCTACCTTCTGTGGTATAATCACACTTGTTCCGAACACATGGTGCTTTCTGTCCTGTTTCTTTCTTTTGCTTTAGCATCCTCTCTGTCCGTTTCCTTTTCCCCCGTCTCCGTGTTCGTTGTTGTCATTTTAGTTCTGAAAACTTTCAATCTCCGTCTGCATGCTGAGACATCTTGTTGTGGTTGCAAATAGGAGAATAACCATATATCTGTATTTATACCAATCACAAAAAATAGAAAAAATAAAAATCACTAAAACCTGTCGTGACCTGAACCTGAGAAAACAGGATCCAGGCCAGATATAAAGTTATAAATGATACTCAAACGTTAACGATCGCGTTTGTTTTAGGTTTTTTTTTTTTTGCTTTAAATTGCACATTTTAATGCTGATAGCAGTTGGCAGTGTCAGAACCAGCAGACAACTGCACTGAAACTAACAAGAAGAAAAAAAAAAAACACAAAAAAACAACAACAACAAATGCATAACTGCAGCAGAAGTCAAGACCATGTTTCCACTTCTTGTCAGTAACTGCTGATTGAAGACTGTTGAATTTGAAGCTTTTATTTCAAATGGAAGGAATTTAAAAGATTTGGAAACTTAGAAGACAGAAGCCCCGAGGCTTCGTGAACATGTTTACAAGTGGGCCTCAAACATATTCAGTTTCATGGTACACCTTCGCCTTTTAGTGCAACTTCAAATGAGAAGCTCATTTGGTGAAATGTGCGCGACCTAATGAATGAGTGAACGTAGTATTACATACGACACTAAAGCATCTCGACGTAGATTCAGGTCTACCTGAAAGGATTCTGCGAGGATCCGACTCCGTTGGCACTTAAATTAAGAGATTAAAATCTAAAATCAGACATTGAGCTAAGAACTCGTGATTTTTATGTTCCTGTCAGACGATGAGTGAAGTTTTGGTGTTTCTCTGAGGGCAGAGCTGCTCTGGTCGCAGAGACAAAGACCTCCACCTCGTGTTTCTCTGTCGTCGTGGCTTCAATAACGTTTAACGGGCCTGAAATGCACTCAAGCCATAATCAGTGTTTGACCACGCCCACCTGTGATGTCACGCTTCACATCACTGCAGCCGCGATGAACCGCCGCCGACCTGAGACGACAAAAACATCCTCAGTGCTTTATTTCACGACTCTGTAAAGTCTTCAAACGTTCTCTGGAAGAAAAATGTAATTTGGCACCAGTTGTAGGTTAATTAGAGAGTGTTGACGAATTTTTAAAACTTTTTTGTATCCCATCAATAATCCAGAACGATGACACTTAAACTGGGAAAGATGCAAATTGTTGAATGTTGCGCAGCAGCTCAAAGCACTACATGATGGAATAAAATGCTGGACAGATCTGAGAGCTCACGTTTCATGTGTTCAGGCAGAATACATCCTGTTCAAACTGATTACCAGCCAGTAATCAGTTTACACGGGATGCATTCTGTGTCGCCACCGTTTATCTGATATGCAGTCCAATAAAATGACTCTACAGAGGAGCAATGTGGAGGCCGTGACGCAGCATTTTTAACGTTTAAGAGCTGGTTTTGAGTGTCAGAAATTAAAGTTAAAGGCATCAACAACAACATTCCAACTGGTGAGAATGTCAGTTTGAAATGTAAGGAGTTCAGTTTCAGAATAATAGCACCTGATATCTCCTTTTAAACATGCTTTCCTCCAACAAAGCATTTGAAGTGTTAGAAGAAGAATTGGCGGCTGCTGTGATGGGAAAGATTGTCAGAAAATGCTGTAAAATAGAGGGAGTTCATTAGAGACTTGTGGTCAGACTTTGTCCTCACGCTGCTCTGACATGGCGGCAAAACAACCCGACGAATGTGGTTGCAGTTCTGTAGTTTGTTTGAAAAGCAAACTGCCTCCAACTTAGCTGCTGAGGCAACTACAGATGTCTGAAACTTCCAGTTAAATAATATCAGTAGTGACGTTCTGACTAGTCATAACTCCAGTTTGATGTATCTGAGTCATTCTGACAAGTTGAAACTTAAGATATCTAAAAAGGACAACGTAGATATCTTAAATCTTCAACTAGAGTTCTGACGAATTAGAAATAAACTGTAGATATCTGAATCAGTCCTAATTGGTTTGCAGAAACTGCAATAAGAAACACATGAGCTGTAAAAAGAACATTATTTGTTCTGTAAGTAAGTCAATGTAGAACTCTGAAGTGTTATTATTGACTGAGTCTGACTCTTTAATGGTGAAACAGCTTTCCACTGTTTTATACAAATGTTTTAGTTGGTTTGAAATCTGTCGAGTTCATCAAAAATCAATAAAATGCAGCGTGCAAATATTTAAAAAGATCAGGTTTCCAGCAATTATTGTATGAAATATATTTTTTAAAAAACTTCTGCTGCTCTTAAAATGAACATTTATCTCCAACAACTTTCCTACAATTCGTGCAAAGTCACGCTCTTCTTTCAGCGACACATTTGGCTCCTCGTTGCTCGTTTCCATCCGCAGAGATTCAACTCATCCGAAGGCGTTTATTTTTTTAAAACGAGAAAAAAGTTTAATGACCAAAAAGCCCGTTGCAGAAATGACAGTTTTTGCACTCACAAAAATTCCCCCGTGAGGTTGAGATTCGTCTGTCCCAGAGCTCCTCGCGTCGCTGTACTCGCCGTCTGTCACCCGATTTATGAAATGCACTTGCTTCTACAGTAGTTTGGGATGAGACTCGTAACCCTGAGGTGCCTGCCGGGACTTGACTTGCCTGTAGATAGTCTTTTTTTTTTTGTTTTTTTTCTTCGGGGTGGGGGTTTTAACGAGAACATTAAGGGCACTGGAAACCTTACTGGGATTAGTTGTATAAAACATGATTAAAAAAACAAAAAAACAAGAAAAAAAAGAAGCTTCTGCTGAGTTCTTTGTGCAAATCTGTCTGTTTGTGCCTTTTTTGATAGTCTTGATATCCAAGATTTGATGTGCAGCTTTCGTTCAGTCGGGACTCCGTTGTAATCGCAGTATAACGCTCTTAAAAACAATCAAGTGGGAGGGAATCTTTCATTTCTGTACATTTTTAAAGAGATTCGTTGCCACAGCTGTGTGATTTGTGACTGTATTGAAAAAGATGAAAAGCAAACATTTATATTTTTTGCGTTACCCTTCTATTTTTTTTTCTTTCCTTGAGCCTCTTTTTTTTCTCTATCTCTCTCTCTCTCTCTCTCTCGATGTTTTTGTGCATATATTTTTATTGTAAGATGAATGTTATGTTTCTATCAGACACTAATCTCGTTTGAGTTGTCTCCAGTGGAACTACTTCACTCTGTATGTTTTGATCAGTATAAACCTTTAATTGTGTAGTTAACATTTCTGAAAGAGAAAAAAAAAAACAAACAAAAGCAGAAAAAATAAGACCCTTAGTTGTATTTTAAAGGTTTCTTCTGTTTGACCTGCCATAGAAACTGTTTTTGAATTGATCGGTCAGTTGTTTTTTTTTCTTTGTTTTTGTTGCTGTCGTGTGAAGGATTTGACTTGAACGAAGCATTTGCTATTATTAAAGACTGACTGCTACTTTGAAAAAAACAATCTGTTTCTTAATGTTTTTGGTTTTCTTTCTCTCTCTCTCTCTTTTTTTTTTTTGCAACTTTGCCATGACATTTAAATAGTCGTTCATTAAAAACACTGTACCTTCATGAACACGTCTGTGAAGTGTGTTTGTGCGCCACCGTTTTAGAAAACTTCCACCGACAGTCGTCCTCGTATCTGTTCATACCCTCCCATCAGAGAAGTCAGTCAGACTTCTGCACCTGTTGCCAGGTGTTCTGACCCACTGCTCATCAGCAAAGTGCTCTAATTTGTCTGGAACAGTTTTGTTTTTTTTAATTATTCTTTTCAACTACAATTCAAAAGCAATGTCTTATTTCACTAAATTATAATTGAACACGTTTTTATTTATTATTGCTTTTTTCAGTTTCTAGTTATTTGAGTGAACGTTGCCTTTTCTTTAATGGAAGGGAATGAATACATTTGAGGACGACTGTGAATCACAAATTGTCTGAATTAATCCAAACCAGCAGCAGACGATCTCCTAGTTTTTGTCTGTATTTCTATTTTTGATGTTTATTACCTTCAAATATTGCATCATAAACCCATAGAGGGAAGATGATGGTGGAAATATGTGTGTCACCTGTGGAATATCTGTTTAAACCTTTTATTCTACAACAAAATACAGGTAGTGAAACTATTCTTGGACTAACTGGAGTGCAGAGAATACTTTGAGCAAAGTCATTTTTTCTCTCTAAGTGCACATTTCAACTGTGCTGTCATGCATCGGTGGTAATATCCAGCTCATCAAGGCTCAATATGGGAATTTAGTGACAAAAAACTGCGATAAATTGGGAGACATTACCAACAAAATTGGTCTATTTTGAAATTTGGGACTTAAAAACAGCAAAAACTGACTTATATCTGCCTGTTGATGATATTTTGTGAGAGTGGAAAAAAAAGAAACACCCAAAATGACGTCTGTAAAAGTCTTTGAGTCTAATATGTCGACAAAATGAAACAAGAACTCAGACTTTATCTAATATTTAAGGTCTCTGCTCTGGAAATGTGTGCAAGTTTTGGCCATTTCTCATGAGTTGATACCTCATTTGCTTGTTTAAACATACAATTTTAGAAAACCGGTCATACAAAAACAATCATTTTCTAATTGTCAGCAATCAACTGGAGAGGTTATACGGTGATACCAGTTTAAAAATTTTTTTTCCAAAAATTAGTTTATCCTGCAACTCAGAGCAGGAAATCTGCACTTTAGTAGCAATGACATACTGTGAACTTTACAGTTTGACTCCTGCTGTCTATATTCTGAGGTTTTTACAGAAGGGTTTGTTCACACACACACACACACACACACACACACACATGGATCTTTGCCTAATTTAGCAACGAAAAATATTTAGAAAACCTGCATTTTTTATACTGCTTCAATATTTACACAATTTTACTTTTTTCCTTTACATAAATAAAGACATTTTCACCATAAATTGATGCAGAAAGAGCACAATTTGGGGCATAAAAAATCCCCAGAATTCAGTAATTTACATTTTTGGTGCTTCAAAGTTTAAACATGTTCAGATTTCAATTGAAGGTGGACACATTAAGGAAAGTGAGTAAACAGTACATCGGTTCTTTTAATGTTTTTATTGGGAGGAACTAATTGTAAATGTTCTGAATATTAAGCAGAACGTATCCACTTCATCTCATTAGAAATCTGTGTCCACATCTTATATTCTTGCACTAGTTTTTTTAAAAATATAATACCGGTACTATCATACAGCAGTTTTTCCTTTTGAAACGACAGATTTGTAATGTTGTCGCTGGTATTTACGTCTTGTTTACGATGTGATGTGAATTAAATCCTGAATTAATCTGAACTTTTTCATTTAAAAGTAGCATGAGGTTAAATTTAATGCTTTGAAAGGAGATTTTATCGTTTAAATCTGAACCAAACCACCGTTTCCTCTCATTGAACAACCCCAGTGTGTTGCGTTCACTGTCTCCTGTAGGTGGCGCCGTCGGATAGTTTAATGAGCTCCACTGCAGTGAGCTCTTTGTCCACTCAGCAGTCTGATTCATAAATCCTTAACGTCATTCACTTTTCCAGCCTCAGACCCACAGATCAGTTTATTCCTTTTAATTTTAAACATTTAAATCACATCTTTTATTAGAAATGACATCAACTTTAAACATGAACCTGCTTTATTTTGAAGGGAAGAAGATAAACTCATATTCAAAAGGATGCTCCAAAGAACATTTGTATGAATTTAAGCCGTTTTAATTCATCAATCCGGAATAATAAATTAAAAATAGACACAGAAATGCAGATTAAAACGAACCCGAGGAGGAAAATGCTTTTAAAAATGACAAAGTGATTTTTTTTTGTAATGTGACACTAAATCAAACTTTATTTTTTCCACTCAAGCTTCTGTGTAAACACGACCATCAATCACCGATCAACTCCATCGATCCTTTAAGGGTTTGTTTACTTGCGCTGCTTCAACCACGTGCTTGCAATGCGGCCACGCATGCGCGCCAAGCTGTTGGCTTTTTGGCACGCGTCTCCCTCGGTGGCGCGCACTGCCAAAAACAACTGTCGGCCACGCGGGCGCGCGTCAACAGCCTGGCCACTGCTTGATTGGCTGTAGCGACGTAGCCCCGCCCTCCCTGGCAGCTGATTGGCCAGACGGAGATTCTTCTTGTCGCTGATTGGACGCTATTTGTAGAACAGGCTGTGTAGCTAGGCTACTGCTGCCTTCAGGAGCCTCCACAAACATCGAATACAATAGATGTTAAAGACAAAAATGTGGTTTCAGTTGTTTTGGTCAGAAGAAAAGCAACTAAACACCAACCAGCAGAACGTCGACAAACTATAAAGACTGTAAAATCTGAATGATGACAACTAAAACATAAAAATGTCATTATTCAGCGAAGATATGTTTGAAAAACGCAGCCAGCAGACGGATTTTAATCATTTAAAGCTATAAAGGCTGTCAACTGTAAAAACCTAAAAATACCAATAATATAGCAAAGTTATGCTCAATAAATAGCAGCTATTAGCGCTAAGCATCAGTCAGAAGACTCAAAAGGACAGAAATCTGAATATTGAAACCAATAACAAACAAATTGCAATTATTTTTTGTAAATATACTTTATAAATAGTAGATGTTAGCAGCTAAACGTCATCTACTGGATTGTGTTTAAACGTTGTGAGGCTACAGAGGCTCTATAATCTGAAAACTGATGCACAAAACACAAAGAGCGCTGATTATTTAGCAACCATCAGCTGAACCTCTGAAGAAATAACCACAAATAAACAAGTGACACGTGGCTGCACACTGAGTTTAAAGTTTCCTCACTGACTTTAAAGCCTTAAATCACACTCATGCAATAAGAAAAATCCACATGTTCAACAGAAAAACAAAAACAACTTCAGAAGCTTGAACAGGTCGTTTGTTTTTTAATTTGTTCATTTTTTTAGTCTCATATTGAATGTTTTTATGACTTTAATACCTCGACAATAACAACTGAACTGTTTGCAGTTGAGGAAGACCAGGAGATTTGGATGAAAGCTTCAGAAACAAAGAAGAACCGTGTTTATGAGACATTTTCCACTTTTTTTGAGTTTTTTATTGTTGTAATGTGTGTGTTTTTGTTCACATTTCATGTTGGTGTTGTGTTTTCTGATTGATTTATGTGTTTAATCCCAACTCTCCTCTGCTGTGCCATTAAAGTTGAGCTTGTTCAGAGATGATCCACGTTTTTTCCTTGTGCGCTCAGTTTCTGACACTCGTTTGTCCTGCGGCACCTTAAGGCAGCACCGGTCCATGAAATAAAACGCCGCTTTTTTTCTGCACTTTTTTCCCACAAGTTTCACTCTTTAAACAGCTCACAGCTCCAGTCGGGCGGCGGCACAGACGCGGAGCCGCAGCTCAGACGGTCGGTCCGGACGGATCCAGCGTCGTGCGTCTGTTTGTGCATAATTCAAAGCGCGCTGCGCATCACGGAGCTTATCGGGGTCTCGGTATAAATAAGGCCGCAGACGGGACAGCTCGGCCTGTCCTGAAGAGCTGAAGGTGTTCAGAGGTGAAACTCCTCCATCATGTCCTCACTGTGAGCCGCCTCACGGATGGGACCACCGGAGAAATCGCGCACGGCTCACGGTTCGGCTTCCAGCGAGGACGCACACTGATGCTTCTGGAGACTTTTGGGTTCGGCTGGGCTCGACCTTAACAGGCTGCTGCTGCCTTTATGGGACGGTGAAGGTGTCTTTGGTGTTTTTATTTTTTATTTTCCACCAACATTCAGACTCCTGCCGCTCCAGTGGAGGCGCCGAGTCCTGCACCGGGAGCTTCTCGGTGTCCGACGGGGGGGAAGGCGAAGTGTGTTTGGGGTGAGTGCAGAACCAGTGACCTGCTGGAGGACACGCGTGTGTTTGTCACAGAAATCATCGTAACGACCCATTAATCCTGCTGCCACAGCTTCTCCTCCTGATTGAAAGTAGCCTGTGTGTGATGTTTGTGTCACACTTAGTTTCCTGTTGCACCAAAGCCTTCATTTGTCTTCCTCTGACTGTGCACTGCATGAAAACAACTTTACATCTCATAACATCTCCATCATGTTCTTTCAGAAACAATGTTTTGAATCCCTGCTCCTCCTGGGTGCAGCTCTGGTGGATTTACATAATTCCAGGCCTTTAAATAACCTTCTTACATTAATTATAAGGTTGCTTCTTTAATGAGTTTTGCAATTTGATCTCCGAGTTACGTTGAAGAGCGAATGAAGACGAGCAGCTCCTCTCCGCTGCTGCTTTGCGCTGCCTCCATCCTCTGTGCGCTCTTTTGGCCGCAGATCTCGGTCAGTTTTTTTTTTTGGTTTGGAGGAGGAGGAGGGGATATAAGGCTTATGATGCCACGTGAACAGGCGACAAAAACACAGAGAAAGGACGGATTTCATAACGCTCACGCAGCGCTGCACCTCCTGGAAGGAAGCTGCAGCGGCGGCGTGTTGACATGCGTCCTCCT